AAATTTAAATTGTACTCATTATTTAAATTGAATTAAACTAATGAAATAAACAGGAACTAAACTGGCTCACATTTTGTCGGTGGCTGACTAGCTTCTCAATACTTTTATTTTATTGTGTGTTGGTCCCGATTTTACTTTTGAGAAAACCTATGACAGTCCCTGGGTTCAAATGTCGTCAAAATCCGACAAATTCAAACCAAATACATGGCCAATAGAAATTATTTTTAGGAAATAGTTATTGCTTGGTAACTACTATTTGAAACCTATCCACAACTTTCATAAAATAATTCACTCTTGGTGTGCAAATAATCATTGTCCCATTCGGCAAAAAAGCACTATTGGTTTTATTTTTATTTTTTTTTTTGAGAAAAAATGGTTTTAAGAACTATCTATAATTATCAATAATTATATGCGGAAAATTCGACCATAAAATTATGTGTCAATGAGAGGATTCATTAATTTGATAAAATTAAATGTCGTTCTCAATCGATTCAACTTACATTTTCTTAGATTTTTTTTTAAAAAAAATTTGTTTTAACAAGGTAGATTTTGATTTTGTTCTATAATATGTACATGAAATCAATAATTACTATTAAATATAGTAATTTAATGATGTGGCGTGATAAAAATTTAATCTTATTAATTGGTCATGATTTTTTTGATTAATTACTTAATTTATTATAACCATTAAATTAATAGCTAAAATAATAATAATTATTGATAAGTAAACTGTTAAAATTATATATATATATATTTTGAAGGATGACATATTAGACTTTTTAACCGATCCAAATCGACAGTTAGGGAATAGAATTTTGCATAAAAACGTAAAAGCAGTTCAGCCAAAGAAAATGAAACAAAAATTCCATTATGGTAAATTATGGTAATGACATTTAAGAATTGACTTGGATTTGGATATCTGGATAGAACGGAACTCACACGTTGTTTTCTCTAAAAATTCGAGGAACCAAAGTTGAAAATTGAAAAATACAGCACCTGTAACTATTAGTTTTTCCTTGAGAAGCACATGCAAAAATTTTGAACAAAAGAAAAGAAAAAAAAATGTTTTAATATGAAATAAAAAATACTATATTAGTCGAACACAGTTTTAAATAGTTAGATTTTTAATAAATTCATGATATTTTTATAAATAAAGTATTCAAACTGACGACTTTACAATTCGCTAAATGTAAATCTCTTATTTGTATTTATAACATCATTCGTTCGTATATTTAACTTTTTTTATGTACTCATTTAACACTCACACCCCGTTCATTTCACCGATTCAAGTTTTCAGTTTTAAATTTTTACAGTTAAAAGCTATCAGAAAATGTCACATCTAACTTTTTTTGCTACAGTTAAAAGCTCTAAAAAAATATCAAATCTCAGTTCGAATTGAAAAATCGAATCTGTGAAGTGAACGAGACATTAATGTTGCATGTGTTAGACTATATTTATCGAATGCTACACTAAAATAAATTGAGTGTTAAACACACACATAAAAACGATGTTACACAAGTCTAAAAAAATTACACATGTCCAAATATCAAATTTAAGACAATTCTTATTTTTATATTATTAAACTGTCTACCGACCTTATCACAGAACTTAAAAAAATTGAGAAGAATATAATAGATCACATAAGAAAAAACTGCAATAGTGAATTTTTTAAAGCTGGTACAATGAAATTAAAAATTTGAAAAGTAGTGTACTTATTCCAAAATATTAATTAAAGCTAAAAAAAATAAAAGTCCCGTTCATTTCACCGATTTGAGTTTTTAGTTTTAAATTTTTATAGTAAAAAATTTTCAAAAAATATCACATCTAACTTTTTTTACTACAGTAAAAAATTCTATAAAAATATCACATCTCAACTCGAATTGAAAACTCGAATCTACGAAGTCAACGATTCAAAAGAAAGAACGGACACCCAGAACCAAAAATGTCCACACTCGTACACTAATGTGTTTTATTAGCCAATTATAAAAAATAAAAAAAAGGGTTTTATTAGCAAGTTGTAGTACAAAGCTCAGAACTGTCTTTCATTTAACCCAAAAAAACAAACCACATTTGTTTTTCCATTTGCGCGCAATTACTGACCAATCAAGAATCTCAACAGTCAAAATTCAGTCCCTACATATTTTAATTGGCTAAAAAATATCTCACACGGTCACAACATAAAAATGAACGACAGTAAAAAAAACAAAACACAAAATACAAAAAAAAAAGTAAAAAACAAAACAGATAAAAAAGGAAGAAAATAATGTAATTATAGTAGTTACTGTATTTTTACAAGAAAACAAAAGAAAACCGCGTAGTGTGTGGTACAACATGATGTACGCCGCGTGGGCAGATCCTACTTCCAGCTATCTTTTCATCACTGAATTAATTACCCATAAATTATTTTAGCTTATCAATGAATTTCCTGATTTATATATTTAATTTTAGATTTTTAGTTGACGTTTAATTTATAAATTTAAAATTATTTTTTTATGTGTATTTTTTTATAAAAAAAAATATTGTAGTGAATTATAAATTATGATTCAAACTATGGTACGAATCTCCATTCTAAACGCACGATTAGTTTTCTTTGTGAAAAAAAGAATCTTTGAGCGTGCTTATCAATAATATCAATTTCTATCTTTATATTTGATTAAAATAAAAAAATATGCATAATTTATAGTTTCTGATAAATATTCAAGAACTGAAAACCCGTTTAGTTCGTTAATTCGAGTTGAGATGTGACTTTATGTGAAAGCCTTTTATTGTAGCAAAAAAAGTTAGATGTGACTGCATCTGAGAGCTTTTTACTGTAGCAAAAACTCAAATTCTAAACTCAAATTGGTGAAATGAATGGGGCTAAAATTTTATCAATACTCCATATTTTCAATGCCCACCATAAGGATCCATTTGGTTAGAGAGATGGATAGTAGAAAGGATGAAGAGAGTTAGAAGGATATAGAGTATGATGGAGGGAGAATATTATATTAATCATTCGTGTTGTTTAGTAAGCAAGAGAGAGAGTTGAAGGATGAATGATAGTTGTTTGTAAAATTACTATATTGTTCATTTAAATTATTTGTTAATAACTTGTTTTGAGGGTAAAATAATCTTTTAGATGCAAAAGTTGATGGATTCTATGAATTCTCTAATAAATGGAGGGATTTAATTTTATGGGCCCAAAAGGATGAGCTCTCCCTCCATCTCCCAATTCCTTCATCTCCTCCCTCCAACCAAACAAATAATTTGCTCTCTTCCTCCATCTCTCCTCAAACCAAACACACTCTAAAACCATCTATCTAAATTAAAACACAAAAAAAAAAAAAACTAAAAAATACAATCACTTTCTCTCTATGTTTATGTCACATACAATTCCACTTCTCAATGAAAACCGTGAGCTGAGTTTATTTAGGACATGTTTTTTTGATGAGTTTAAATTTATGGTTTTGATTTTGCTACAATATTTTTCTCTTAACAAAATTTAAAAATAAAATGTTAGAATTAAAAATCACTGGTTTAAACTCTAAATGCACCTTTATTTATTTTTGGAGGGTAATGAGCTGAGTTTTATTAGATGACAGAAAGTGCCAAAAGCCAAGAGAACAACAATCCCACTGCTAGACAATTGTTCACCATTACAAAGCAACGGCAACAAAAAAGAAAAAGTAACAAAAACAATACCCACGTGACTAAAAAGAAAAGAAAATGAGCTACATTCATGAATAACGGAGGTTTATATAAAAAATGACTATTTATTTATTTATTTTTTTGCTTTTGCTAGTCTAGCAAAGAAAGAAAGAAATTGACAAGAAAAAAAAGAAAGAAAATTATTCTTTTCTTTTCACTAGAGGTTCTTTTTTTAGACTATTTTTAATTTTCAATATATTAAATAAATAGTTATCTTATTATGAAAAGTCCATTTTATTTCACTAATAATTACGTGCATGCTGATGGAGAAAAGAGTTGGAAAAATCCATTTACATTCCAAACCCGATGTTTTGTTATATTGATATTGATGTTTTTATCATATCTATAATTATAATATCTATTTTGATTGGATGTAGATATCATATCTATTTATTTTTTAAAAAACCTTTTATAGCGACCTCTTTAAGAGTCAACTCCTCTAATTATAATCGTGTCATTACGAGCTGACTCATGAGTTTTATCAATTCATGTTGGTGGTTAGCGATCAACTAAGTAAACACGTGTAAAGCTTATATTAGAGACTTAAAATGCGATTCTAATAATATTCTATCAAACCAACGATAGTAAATATTTATTTTAATTAAGGAACTTTATACGGTGAGACTTGTCATTTTGAACTACCGGTAAAAACTGATGTTTTAATCGTTATATTAAGGCTTCGTTCATTTCGCTGATTCGAGTTTAGTTACAGTAAAAAGCTCTCACAAACAGTCACATCTAACTTTTTACTACAGTAAAAGCTCTCATATAAAATCACATATCAACTTAAATTAAAAACTCGAATCAACGAACTAAACGAGCCCTTAATGGTCTGATTTGTAATTGAACCGGTATTGTATCGTGCGTTAAAATTTTTTAACGTAAACACTCATAAAGTAGACCGTTAAATACTTAATCAACAGTTAAAATTTAAGAGTTCTGGTTGTCATTAAAAAGGATAAATCCTATCCTAAAAAGTTCCCTTTGATTAAATAAAAATACACTACAACAAGCAAATAAATTATTTCAACCAAAAAAAAGTAAATAAATAAATAAAAATTGAGGGGGTTTATTTTATATTTTTAATTTTGGTAATTTTGGAGAGAGTTTAATTACCAACTCCGGTTGGGACACAGCCCAGAGCCACCACCACAACTCAGGTGGGTCCCACCCACTTCCTCACTTACACACACACTCTCTCTCTCTAACACCATCTTTCCTTTTTCCTTTCTTTTCTTTTTCTTTCTCTTCTCTTAATAATCACGTAATACCATTTCTCTCTCTCTCTCTCTCCTCTCTTTCTCTCTCCTCAATCTTTATTCTTCTTTCTTCTTCTTCCCCTTCTCCTTCTCTCTTACGCGTCCTCTTTCTTTCTCGGCACACATTAAGACCAGCCGTGTTACAGACGGGCATTTTTTGTCTTTTGAACGACTCAATTTACTTCTAACCATTTTCACATTTTTTTTAATAAATAAATAAAAAAAGTACATTTTGTATTTCCATTTCCCATTTCCCATTTCCCATTTGTTCTTGCTTCTTCTTCGCGGGGGGTTTGGTCGGATTCCCGTTTTGGATGGGCGAAACTGGATCTCTCGCCGAGTTCACGAGTCCTCAAGAAGAAAGGAAAGATCTGTTTCTGAGCTGGGTCTCTTCGATTTCCTCTTGATTTCGATTCTGGATTTTGGGATTTTCTAGAGAGAGAAAGAGAAAAGGAAGGGAGGGTTTTTGTTTGAGTTATGGCTACGGGTCGGCTTGTTGCTGGGTCCCACAACAGGAACGAGTTCGTCTTGATCAATGCTGATGAAAACGCACGGGTTAGTTTTGCTTCACAGAAAAAGAAAAACAGAAAATGAAAAATCCTCATTTTCACTTAATTTTCCTTGATTTTGGGGAATACTCAGATGCCCAAGTTTGAATATTTTTTATGTTTGGCGCTAGTTTGGTACAATTTGCTTGGATTTTGGGATTTTTTTGGGTGGGTTTATGTTTTTATTTATGTCTATTCCAAGTTTTAGCTGATTCTTTGTTTCTGTTGAAATGTGGGTTGATTTGAGGAACAAATTTTGGATTTTGATTCCTGTTTTCAGTCCTTTTTCTTATAAATCTCCAAACTTTGTGGAGAAACAGTCAAATAAGAAGTTATTCCTTGTTCTGATAGAGTTGGAAAAAGCAGTGCCAGTTCTGCATTTGCTGAAATATTGATGGGCATTTGTAATTATTTCGGTTACAAGAAGTTTGAGTGTTTTATTCTTCGAGATCTGCTTGGATCTAAGCCAACGAGACAAGAAATAAAGATAAAAATGCTTAATCTTGTCTTCTTTTAAGCTGAGACTGACAGAATGAGTGGAATATTAGTGTCGGCAGGTGGTCAAATAACTTGTATGCGGAGAGTTTATTGGATTGCTTGAGTATCTCAGTTAAAACGTTCCATATTCTGCAATTCTTACAATAGTTGCTAATTAAGAAGCTACTTTAACTAATCAGTAGAGTGATCTGCTTGAATTTCCGGTATTAAATTATTTTTATTTTTATTTTTGGAAAAAAAGGTGGAATTCCCAGCTTTTTTGCTATCCTCAGAAGGAGCATAGTGTTTATGTATCTTGTCTAATTTATAAGCTGAAATTCAGCACCTTTTTGTTTTTTTGTTGATTACTTAATTGGGCTGGATTCTGCTATGTTTCATCGGGACTAAGTCGCTTTCTGATCCTTACAGATAAAGTCTGTGCAAGAATTGAGTGGGCAAATATGTCAGATTTGTGGAGATGAAATTGAGATTACTGTGGATGGAGAGCTCTTTGTTGCTTGCAACGAATGTGCTTTCCCTGTGTGTAGGCCTTGCTATGAGTATGAAAGAAGAGAGGGAAACCAGGCTTGTCCACAGTGTAAAACCCAATACAAGCGTATCAAAGGTGAGAAATTCTCTCTTTTATTCTGGTTGCATCTGATCTGCTTAATCTCAAGAACTTCTCTTACCGGTAATTGAATTTGCAGGTAGTCCTAGGGTTGAGGGTGACGAAGAGGAAGATGGCATCGATGATATTGACAATGAATTCGAGTATGGAAACCTTGACGCTTCGGGCGCACATCAAGTTGCAGACGGTTCCCACCCTTATTCTTCTGCAGTCCTAGAACGTGAATCCTCTCCCCTTGGTTCTGAAATCCCTCTCTTGACCTATGGCGAGGAGGTAATCTAGTCAAGTCATTAAGTCACTCTTCATTCTCTATTTATGAGGTTTTGATTTGGATGATTTTTTTTTTTTTTTTTCATTTTAACAACTTACAAAATGTACCTCTGTTTCTTTTCAGGATTCTGAGATTTCCTCCGATCGTCATGCTCTTATTGTACCGCCATTTATGGGTAACGGAAACAGAGTTCATCCAATGCCTTATCCTGATCCATCTACACCTTGTAAGTCAATTTTGTTAGATTGCATATTGTCGTGTTTTTCTTTAATTATTATGTTTTGTGTTACTTTTTGTTTTGCATTGATCTTAATGCGTGTAACGTTGCAGTGCAACCCAGGCCAATGGTTCCTAAAAAAGATATTGCAGTATATGGTTACGGAAGTGTGGCTTGGAAGGATCGGATGGATGAGTGGAAGAAGAAACAGAATGACAAACTTCAGGTGGTAAAGCACCAGGGAGTCGATGATGGCGGACATTATGGTGGAGATGATCTGGATGATGCCGATTTGCCAATGTGGGTTACTCTTCCAAATTTTCACCATGGATAGATGCATATTCATTATGATTTTTTTTTTTAATTTTTATTTCCATATTCTTTAGATAGTTTTATTTCGTGAATTCCTCTTCGTTTGTTGACAATATTTTTTTTTGATGTAACCAGGATGGATGAAGGCAGGCAGCCACTTTCTAGGAAGATGCCAATCTCTTCAAGCAAGATAAGCCCATACAGATTGATTATAATACTTCGACTTACAATCCTGGGCTTGTTTTTCCACTATAGACTTCTACATCCCGTCAAGGATGCATATGGCCTGTGGTTGACATCAGTCATATGTGAGATATGGTTTGGTGTATCATGGATTCTGGATCAGTTCCCCAAATGGTATCCTATACAGAGAGAAACATACCTTGATCGATTATCACTGAGGTAAAAATGGGAAATTGGTTCCATAAATGATATTTTGTAGCTACTCTGTTTCCAGTCGTAATATGCACAATTCTGATTATCTTTAGCTTTCTCCACAAAAGTAGGGATGTCCCCGATCATTTTGGACGTGTTGACTGTTGCCTCATCCTTTGCTTTTGATACTTGCAGATATGAGAAAGAAGGCAAGCCATCTGAATTAGCAAGTATTGATGTCTTTGTTAGTACGGTGGACCCTATGAAAGAACCACCGCTAATTACTGCGAACACAGTTCTCTCAATCCTTGCTGTTGACTATCCAGTTGATAAAGTTGCATGCTATGTCTCTGATGATGGTGCTGCCATGCTTACATTTGAAGCACTTTCTGAGACGTCTGAATTTGCTAGAAAATGGGTCCCCTTCTGTAAGAAATTTAACATAGAACCCCGGGCCCCAGAATGGTATTTCTCCCAGAAAATGGACTATCTGAAAAATAAAGTTCATCCAGCATTTGTTAGAGAAAGACGTGCAATGAAGGTTTGTGACTTATCTGCCTGCTGTTTCTTTACATTGCATGATTTTTTCATATCTGTTGGACGGAAGTTTTGTGGTGTAATTATTAAGTGATGTATAAAGTTCAAATATATTGACTTTGCTTTCTGTTTATTAATACAGAGAGAATATGAGGAGTTCAAGGTCAGAATAAATGTGCTGGTATCCACAGCACAAAAGGTTCCTGAGGACGGGTGGACAATGCAGGACGGGACTCCATGGCCTGGAAACAATGTGCGAGACCATCCTGGCATGATTCAGGTGGGTTGGATATTTCTTTCTTTCTAATGGTTATAGTCTCCCAAAGTACAAGGATTTAGCATTCAATGTATATTATTTCTAATGTTTGCGTTTTATAAACACAACCGTTCATTTTTTTCTCTGGTTAATAAAGAAGCTAAAAAGTTGCAACATAGATGCTTGCTTTCATGCGTTGTTTTTCATTCAATATGGTTGTTTGTTACTTACTGTGTTGCAAAATAATGACCTACTTTGAAGTGATCTCATCATATTAATCTTCAACCTGGTTCTATGCTCGTTACTTACCTCATAATTTGTCCATGTCTAGGTCTTCCTTGGTAATAATGGAGTTCGCGATTTTGATGGAAATGAGTTGCCTCGTCTAGTTTATGTTTCCCGTGAAAAGAGACCCGGGTTTGAGCACCACAAAAAGGCTGGTGCCATGAATGCTCTGGTAAGCTTAAAATATCTATATATGTGAATATCCAATGTTGATCGCCCCTCTATTATTCTGCTTGACATGCTAATGACATATTTCTTGATTGTATTTTGAAGATTCGAGTCTCAGCAGTTATCTCGAATGCCCCATATCTTCTGAATGTTGATTGTGATCACTACATTAACAATAGCAAGGCACTTAGAGAAGCCATGTGTTTCATGATGGACCCTACATCAGGGAAGAAAGTATGCTATGTGCAGTTTCCTCAGAGATTTGATGGGATTGATCGGCATGATAGATACTCAAATCGGAATGTGGTCTTCTTCGATGTAGGTGCCCAATTTGTGTTTATTTTACGATTAATCATTATTCCTGTCTAGTGTTATGTGAGATTCTAATTTGTGATTGAAACAGATCAACATGAAAGGATTGGATGGTATACAAGGACCAATATATGTCGGAACTGGGTGTGTTTTCAGAAGGGTAGCTCTTTATGGATACGATGCGCCAGCCAAAAAGAAGCCCCCCAGCAGGACCTGCAATTGTTGGCCAAAATGGTGCTGCCTGTGTTGCGGGTCTAGAAAGAAAAAGAATGCTAAGGCAAAGAAAGAGAAAAAGAAATCGAAACACAGGGAAGCATCAAAGCAGATACATGCTCTTGAAAATATTGAAGAGGGAATAGAAGGTAAAGATTGCATTGTGAATATTATGTTATATTTTTCTCTAATACCGGACCATCCCCATCAAATGAGACTAAGTTGTGTTGCTATTTCAGAATCTAATGCTGAAAAGTCAGCAAATATGTCTCAAGTCAAATTGGAGAAAAAGTTTGGGCAGTCCCCGGTCTTTGTAGCATCTACACTTCTGGAGAATGGTGGAGTTCCTCAAAATATAAGCCCCGCATCTCTTCTAAAAGAAGCCATCCAAGTTATAAGCTGCGGATATGAGGATAAAACAGAATGGGGAAAAGAAGTATGTGAAAATGACATAATTTGATATTTAGACGAGTAATTATTTTTTATTATCACTAACTTCCATTTTTACCACTTCTTGTTGACCTTCAAACTTCTCGATCAAACTAGGTTGGCTGGATATATGGTTCTGTGACTGAGGATATTCTGACGGGATTCAAGATGCACTGCCATGGCTGGCGGTCTGTGTACTGCATGCCTAAAAGACCTGCATTCAAGGGATCTGCTCCTATTAACCTCTCAGATCGTCTGCACCAAGTTCTTCGATGGGCTTTGGGTTCGGTTGAGATCTTCTTGAGCAGACATTGTCCGATCTGGTATGGCTACGGGGGCGGGTTGAAATGGTTGGAACGCTTTTCTTACATAAACTCAGTTGTATATCCTTGGACCTCCATTCCCTTGCTGGTGTACTGTGCTTTGCCTGCCATCTGTCTTCTCACCGGGAAATTCATTGTCCCTGAGGTAACTTACCTCCCTTTGGATGCCATGTTAAAATGATCTTGTTACTGAAGTCCAATCAAATTATCTCTGCTTTGCAGTGGGTGAAACAATTCAGGCAATTTTAATGAGTTTAGTAGTTATAATGTTATAAAAAAGATGCAATATGTCTGATTCTTTACTACAAATATGCAGATAAGCAACTATGCAAGTCTTATTTTTATGGCCCTCTTCATATCCATTGCTGCAACGGGTATCCTCGAGATGCAATGGGGTGGAGTTGGTATCGATGACTGGTGGAGGAACGAGCAGTTCTGGGTGATTGGAGGCGTCTCGTCGCATCTCTTTGCACTCTTCCAGGGTCTGCTCAAGGTCTTGGCTGGTGTCAACACAAACTTCATGGTCACCTCAAAGGCAGCGGATGATGGAGACTTCTCTGAGCTTTACATCTTCAAGTGGACATCACTATTGATCCCTCCCACAACCCTTTTGATAATAAACATAGTTGGTGTTGTGGTTGGGGTCTCTGATGCCATCAATAACGGGTATGATTCGTGGGGTCCGCTCTTTGGTAGGCTCTTCTTTGCCCTCTGGGTCATCATCCACCTCTACCCTTTCCTCAAAGGTTTGCTTGGGAAACAAGACAGAATGCCCACCATTATTTTGGTCTGGTCCATCCTTTTGGCCTCAATCTTAACCCTCGTGTGGGTGAGAATAAACCCATTTGTCTCGAAAGATGGGCCCGTCTTGGAAATTTGTGGCCTGAACTGTGATTAGAATACATCATCATCTTCTCAAAATAAGAAAAACTCAAGTTGGGGTTTTACCAAATCTGTTCAGCATTTTGTGAGAGTTGCAGAAAAAGATTAACTCTATTCCAGACTTGGGGGCTAAGAAGAGGAAATTTTCCGGGTTTATATATATATATATATATTATTTTATTTAGTATGGGGGTGTAGATACAGAGGGGTTGGGGTGGCTGATACATTGCTATTGTTCTATTAATTCTTTTATTTTTGTTCCTGTGGGGTCTTTTAGTAGGGTTTTGTTTTTGTTTTTGTTTTTCTTGTTAGATTATTCTGTATTCTAGGACAGCATTGAATTATTATTTATTCCCTTGTCCTTACAATAGGGGATTCTTCATACGGGTCTCCAAGAGATCAAAAAAGTTGGCTCTTCTTGTTAATCTCTGTATTGTTATCTGCATACCACTTTGTCTAGACTTCATGTGTTTTACGTTTTTAAGTTCAGAAAAACACTACTTCGTAGTTTCTTTTGTAATCTTCTTGTGGAGTCACTTTTGAAGGTGACAAATTTTGTGGGATTTTCAAACTAGTCGTTTGTTTCTCAAGTACCCTTATTTTTACCCTTTTTCCCTTAAACCGTTCATGATCCATCCCAATAGGCACTTTATCAATGTACTTTTTTCAGTCAATAATTTCGGCCCATATTTCAATGGTGAGTGACAGTGTGTTCCACTCGGCTGCTAATTGGAATCTAACGTCTAGTTTGTAAAGTTTGAAATGGTACTTCTTGATCATGTTAGGGTATGTACTGACTCAAGTTTAATTGTGCCTAGTTATTATTTTATTGTGTTTGGAGTAAGGTTGAAGTTGTGGCTCATTGAATCTAAGGCATCTTCGCAGATTTAAATTTTTAATTCAAATTGAGATATGATTTGATATGAGAATTTTTTAAAGTAGCAGAAAAAGTTAAATATAATTTTTTGTAAGAGTTTTTAACTGTAATAAAATCAGAATTAAAAATTTGAATTGATAAAATAAATGAGGCTTAAATTATAAGTAATTTTCTGTTTTCAGCTGTCAAATGTGCATCAAAAATTATTTATTTTGTTAGTGAATGAATCTTTTCTCTTTTCAAACGTAGACAATTTATCCGAAGTATATATTACCTTCACTGTGTTTGCGTGCTCAAGCCCTTGTTTAGTTATGGGTTTAAGTTGTTTGAACTCATGAAACAAGTCTAAACCAGTATTTGGTTTGGAAAAAATAACAAGTGGTTTGAACTCTTAATGTGACGTTTAAATCATCAGTGAACGTTTGGTTCATGAATTCAAAATCATAATTCAGAACTATTCACGGTTTGCATGTGTTTTTTATGAGAGAAAACGCTGTAGCGAGTCACGAATTATGATTCGAACCATGACACGAATCTTCGTACCAAACACCCTAAAATCAAGGATTTTTGGGCTCAACCTCCCCTAAGTTTTCAAGGTTTAATTTTTCACTGGGAGAAACATATTTACATTTTAGAGCCTGTTTGGTTCGTGAATTAGAACCATAGGATTAGAACTATTTTTTATTTACGTGTATTTTTTGTGAGAGAAAATACTGTAACGAATTATGAATCATGATTTGAATTAGAGAACGAATTCTCTAACCAAACATGCTCTAAGTTGTTGAAGAGTTTTGTGATGGAAAATGCTTTCTTTTGCAAGGCTCGTGCCCTTTGTTCAAAGTTGCCAAGTTGGATTTGACTGCACTACTCAGAATGAGATAGTACACATAAGACTACGATAATTACATTTGTATGACGTCTAAGTTATTAAATTGTCAAAATTTCACTGGTGGAAGGGAAGCACCCCACAGAGCCGAGATAGATAATGTGAAAGTGAGAACGTTAGCTTGAATAATGCAAACATTGATGAGAGTCTGTGCCCTGGACACCAACAACTTTTAAAAGTATTGATTCATCTTTTTTATCTCGGAGTTTCTCTTATACGTCTAGAAAAATTAAACTATAAATAATTTTCTGTTTTCAGCGGTCAGATCTGTATCAAAAATTATTTATTTTATATATTTTTTTAATCTATTTAATTTTGATTAGATCTGATGGCTGAAATCAGAAATTACTAATTGTTCATTTTTGGCCCCAGAATGGGAGATCTGGGTTTTCTTAGTAAGGATGTGGAAGTGCAAGAATACTAGAAGAAATGGCTAGCTACCTCTTGAAGAAAATGAATTACCACCAACTTATAATAATAATAACTGTTATATATTCTTGAACAACAATTTCCTTTACCTTTTATTATTATTATTATTATTATTATTATTATTTTGAAAAAAAATAGGTGAATGGCTAAGACCACCTATTTTAAATTAACAGCCGATATTTTTATGGCCAAACTTTTTTTATAAGGGAAATCGCCTTTTTTCAGTGGTCAATAACTTATATACAATAATTTATCACTGATAAATCAGTTTATAATTCATTATCAATAATTTGTCACTAATAAATTGCTAATTCATCAAAAATGATTTATCGCTAATTGATATTCATCAAATATTTATGATAAACAACCAATTCAATTAGTGATATGCCGCCAATTCAATTAAAAATAAATAGATTTATTATTAATTTACCATGATTAATTACGAATAAATGACCATTTTCTTAATTTTATAAAATTCCAGTCATTTACTAAAAAACAACTCAAGAAATGGCCATCTTTGCGCATATCCATTTATTTTAAAAGAAATTTTCTTTGCTCTCTTCAGAGACTGAATTAACGCTAAAAGTTGTAACTATTTATTTATTTTCTCAACTTTGTTTTTTTTCCATTTGTTAATCAATGGGGTATATTGAATTGACTGCCTTTGGCTTTATATATAACATCCTCCTTCTCTCAATAATAATAATATTATGCCTTATTTATTTCATTCATTCGAGTTTAAAATTTGAGTTTTGCTACAATAAAAAGCTCTCAGAAATAGTCACATCTAACTTTTTTACTACAATAAAAAACACTCATATAAAATTATATCTCAACTCAAATTTTAAACTCAAATCAACGAAATAAATGGGGTCTTACTAACAATAATATTACTATCGTTACTCATAAAGAAAAGTAAAATAATAATAGTACTAATACTGTATATCTTAGACAAGACTACACTTCGTTACAAGTTGACAGTTGACCTTTTTCTTTGCGTCAATTCAACAAAAAAAAAAAAAGGAAAGGAATTATGGATTGACTCATGACTAGTCATACAAATTGATCAACCGAAAATAGTAAAAAATATGTCAATATAAAAAATTTAAAAAAATATATAGACTAAGTTTTAGTTATGGAAATTTATAAGTCATAATTTATCAAGTTATGATTTATAATCAGATAAGTTATGAATAAATTTGTCAAGTTATGATTCATAACTAGACAAGTTATGGATAAAAACCGTGAATTATGGACAATAACTTGTCAAGTTATGGTTCATAACCAGACAAGTTATGGACAAAAATAATAATTTGACCTATTTATTAACTTATGTAAACTATTGACCTATTAATTTTAATTCATCTCAAGTCTTGACCTATTTTCCTCTTTATGGTCAACTTGGAAGTCATACTACTCCTTTTTCTCATTGTGGACCGCCTTTTATTTTCTCTTTCAAAGAGCTAATTATTGTTGATTGCATTTATTAAGGGAAATCGCCTTTTTTCAGTGGTCAATAACTTATATACAATAATTTATCACTGATAAATAAGTTTATAATTCATTATCAATAATTTGTCACTAATAAATTGCTAATTCATCAAAAATGATTTATCGCTAATTGATATTCATCAAATATTTATGATAAACAACCAATTCAATTAGTGATATGCCGCCAATTCAATTAAAAATAAATAGATTTATTATTAATTTACCATGATTAATTACGAATAAATGACCATTTTCTTAATTTTATAAAATTCCAGTCATTTACTAAAAAACAACTCAAGAAATGGCCATCTTTGCGCATATCCATTTATTTTAAAAGAAATTTTCTTTGCTCTCTTCAGAGACTGAATTAACGCTAAAAGTTGTAACTATTTATTTATTTTCTCAACTTTGTTTTTTTTCCATTTGTTAATCAATGGGGTATATTGAATTGACTGCCTTTGGCTTTATATATAACATCCTCCTTCTCTCAATAATAATAATATTATGCCTTATTTATTTCATTCATTCGAGTTTAAAATTTGAGTTTTGCTACAATAAAAAGCTCTCAGAAATAGTCACATCTAACTTTTTTACTATAATAAAAAACACTCATATAAAATTATATCTCAACTCAAATTTTAAACTCAAATCAACGAAATAAATGGGGTCTTAATAACAATAATATTACTATCGTTACTCATAAAGAAAAGTAAAATAATAATAGTACTAATACTGTATATCTTAGACAAGACTACACTTCGTTACAAGTTGACAGTTGACCTTTTCTTTGCGTCAATTCAACCAAAAAAAAAAAGGAAAGGAATTATGGATTGACTCATGACTAGTCATACAAATTGATCAACCGAAAATAGTAAAAAATATGTCAATATAAAAAGTTTAAAAAAATATATAGACTAAGTTTTAGTTATGGAAATTTATAAGTCATAATTTATCAAGTTATGATTCATAATCAGATAAGTTATGAATAAATTTGTCAAGTTATAATTCATAACTAGACAAGTTATGGATAAAAACTGTGAATTATGGACAATAACTTGTCAAGTTATGGTTCATAACCAGACAAGTTATGGACAAAAATAATAATTTGACCTATTTATTAACTTATGTAAACTATTGACCTATTAATTTTAATTCATCTTAAGTCTTGACCTATTTTCCTCTTTATGGTCAACTTGGAAGTCATACTACTCCTTTTTCTCATTGTGGGCCGCCTTTTATTTTCTCTTTCAAAGAGCTAATTATTGTTGATTGCATTTATCCAAACTTAAATTTTCAATCTCCACAAACATTTGCATGATATTCTGCTCAAAGAACAGTAGATATTCAGATATTTTTTCTCCTTTCCCTTTTGCATGTTTATCGGACAAATATTTGTGTAGTAAAATCAAGGTTAACCCTATAAACGGTGTCTGAATTTTGGTGCAATCTCACTCTAATTTTTAATTTTAAAAGTCCTAAACTTAGACCTCAATTTATTAGTTTATTCCAGTTTGTCTTTTTTATTAATTGGGTGTTAAAAAGGGAATAAAGTACTAATTTTTACATTTTTGTGTCATAATCTGTATTTCGTGTACTATTAGTAAAATACTACTTTCTATTAGTATTACGCGCATGTTCTATCTTTCTTTTTGTACCCAACCGATCATAAAAAGGAATAAAATTGAAATAAACATGTAAAATTAAGGATGAATTTTATGATTTTTTAAAATCATGTCCATATTTGGCGTACTATTAGTAAAATATTATTTTCTATCAACCTAATGACTCATGCACATATTCTATCTTTTTTTTTTTTTACCCAATTGATCATAAAAAAGATTAAAATTGAAACAAACTGATTAAATTAAGGATGAGTTTTGAGATCTTTTAAACTTTAGGGTCCAAAGTAAGACTGATGATAAAATTTATGGACCATTTTATAAATTAACCCTGAAATCAGAGCGTGAATTTCAAAATTTTCTTATTTGCGATCTTGTCAAACTAAAACCTT